CAACCTGGCGTTTATTAAGTTTGTCACCGTAATCGACAACATTGTTAACATGGGGCTTTGATATTGAACTGGCATATGAGTTAAGTAAATGCACAAGGCATTATGAGAGTGTAAGTAATGGAACTAACAGAGCTTTGTGAGTTTTGATCAGCCACACATGTAATGAACATGGCACTTAAGCATAACTACTGCAGTAAATATTTTAGCTTCTTATAACAAGTATTGTTAAGTGTGTCAAGAAGATGTTTTTTTTTCTGAGAACTGTGTAAGACGTTTCATTACTAAGAAGGTTTTGTTCACGGTGTCGACGACGACATTCGATTCGTCATTTTTCGTAATATTCAGATCACTATCTCTTTCCGATTTTGTGTGTGAATGAGAAATCATTAAAGTTGTAGGTGTGTTTATATTGCAATTTTCAATATAGTTACACACACACACGCACACACACACACACACACACACACACACACACACACACACACACACACACACATATATACGTAAATTCTTTATATATTTGTTCATGAACCTTCACGCCCGTTGTCACGAGATAGTTCGTTCTGATACTTGCATTTTCTGACAATTCCATATTTGTGGTTCGTAATATCATCACCAACTCCTTTTACGTCTTCTATAGCATTCCGTTGTGGAGGCTAGCAACACCAGTAGGTCGCCGCATATTCTAACTATTAATAAAGAAGAAAGTGAAGTTTTCTAAAACCTTTTGTATTAGAACACCTTTACTGAGATAATTAGCTCAACGAGAGTTACACACAGTTGTACAATTGACCATAGACAGAAGCAAAGAGAGAGAGAGAGAGAGAGAGAGAGAGAGAGAGAGAGAGAGAGCTGACATTTAAAAGAAAACGAAGAGACAGATAAGTCGATAATTGAGTCGGCATAGAAAACAAACAAACAAACATATAGACAGATAATTAGTTAGATACATAGACAGGAATACCAACACACAGAGACACAGAAAATTGAAAAACAACAAAAAAAATAGAACATAAGAACATAAGAAAATAAGGAGTCTGCAATAGGCCGGTTGGCCTGTGCATGGCAGCTCCTATCGAGAGTTACTACCACTCTCTATCATCCATGAATCTATCCAGCCTCCTTTTGAAACCTTCCAGAGTTCCCGCACTTACTACAAAGTTGCTAAGCTTGTTCCACTCGTCCACCACCGTATTTGTGAACCAGTTCCTTCCTATCTCCCTCCTAAACCTAAACTTATCCAACTTAAATCCGTTGCTCCGAGTCCTATCCTGCTCGGATATTATAAGAACTTTATCTATATCCCCTTTATTGATTCCTTTCACCCACTTAAATACGTCTATCATATTTCCCCGAACTCTTCGTCTTTCTAGGGAATGCAAGTTTAGTTTCCTTAACCTATCCTGATATGGAAGGTTTCTAAGTCCCGGAATCATTTTCGTCATTCTTCGCTGCACCGACTCTAGTGAATTGATATCCATTCTATAATAAGGGCAATAGAACTGAACCGCGTAATCGAGGTGCGGCCTGACTAGCGCAAGATATAGTTGCAATAAGACCTCTGCACTCTTATTACTTACACTTCTAGATATAAAACCCAATACTCTGTTTGCCTTATTTCGAACATTAACGCGCTGTTTTCTAGGCGGTAGGTCCGGGCTTACAAGTACCCCTAGGTTCTCTTTCACAAGTCGACTTCTCTAGGTTGATGTTGTTAAGGCTGTATACATTGACAGTATTTGTTCTTCCAATATTAAGTACGCTGCACTTGCTGGTGTTGAATTTCATTTGCCATTTTTCAGACCACCCCTGCAGTTTATTTAGATCCTCCTGTAATGCATTTGCATCCTGTCCTGAATTAATCTGCTGCCCTATTTTGGTGTCATCCGCAAACTTGCTTATGTCACTGCTGATCCCAGTATCTAAATCGTTTATGTAGATTATGAACAAGAGTGGGCCTAGTACTGACCCCTGGGGAACCCCACTGGTTTCACGGCCCCACTCAGATTTAACACCATCTACGCTGACCCTCTGCGTTCTATCGGTGAGCCATGATTTTATCCAATTTAAAACTTTCCCCTCGATACCATGAGCCTTAATTTTTCTCAGAAGCCTCTGATGCGGTACTCTGTCAAATGCTTTGCTAAAGTCTAAGTAAATAACATCGTAATTTTCTTCATTGTCTACTACCTCGAAGACTTTCCTAAAAAACGTCAGCAGATTTGTTAGACAAGATTTTCCTTTTGTAAACCTATGTTGAGAGGCGTAGATTAGTTTGCTTTTCTCTAAATGCGATCGGATGTTTTCTGCTATAATTGATTCAAGACATTTCCCTACTACTGACGTCAAACTGATCGGCCTGTAATTTGACGCTGATGCTCTGTCTCCCTTTTTGAATATGGGTACTACATTTGCCTGTTTCCACAAGTCTGGCACAACTCCCGTGTCTAATGATTTTGTAAATAAGTTTACGAGGGGTCCGCTAACCTGTTCCCTACACTCTTTCAAAGACTCGAGGGAAAATTTCATCCGGCCCTGGGGATTTTGTCTTCTTTAGTTTATTTATCCTCTTAAGAACATCCTCTTTTCTGATAGTGATATTCTTTAATTTCTCTTCTTCCTTTCCCCTAAATATCAGTTCCGCCTCTGGAATTTCCTCGCGAATTTCTTCTGTGAAAACTGATAAGAAGTAGCTGTTCAATGCTTTGCTTATCTCTTCACTGCCATTTATCACTTCTCCCCTCCCTGACTTTAAAGGCCCAACTTTGTCCTTGACCTTTGATCTATATGCCTGGAAATATAGATAAATATAGATACATAAATAACGAACAATGAAACAAAAAGACAAACATAAATAAGATAGATAGACATAATTCCTGTAACACCTTTAATTAGGGCAGGTAATATAATCATACAGGTGGGTGGGTAAGGTGGTGGATTTAAATGACGGGGTTGGCTGTATGGTGGAGGGTAAATCAGTGAATGGATGTAAAACTGCCTGGTAAACGCCTCAGAAGAATGAATTATTGGGGGCAACAGTGTGAGTCAGCTCTCATGTATGTACGTATGTGTGTCTTCAATGTCATATAATCATTCTCTCTCTCTCTCTCTCTCTCTCTCTCTCTCTCTGTTTCTACAATTTGAGCTCTGTTTTTCATCCCATTTTCTTTCAATATATTTTTTTAATTTTCTATGTATGATATCTATCTGTCTGTTCCTGTCTGTCTCTCTGTCTGTCCGTAAATTGAAAGAGAAACTAAAAGAGAATGATATACAAAACTCGTCATATATGCAAAACACTGTTACTTAAAACTGAAGGCGGAAGTGTCCTGGGTGTTTTCGTCGCGGGGAACACCTACCTCCCACACCCTTCTCATTATCAAGCGAGAATTTTAATGAGGGTACGTGATCCGTCGACAACATTCCTCAGTGATTCTTTGAAGCGTTATTGTGAAAGGATCTCAATTATGACGATTTACTTTGAGTGTTATTCGAAATGCGAGAGGTTGATCTTGTGGACGGGGAACACCATAGAAGATCAGCGTCTTAGACTGAGGGAATGAATGATAAGAGTCAGCACAACTCTCTTATAATTCAATCCCCCAGTTTGCTTACGACTACAACATGTTATGCCGGAAAGGTTTACAAAAACAATAAATTATTATTTTTATTATTTTTTATTATCATCATTATAATAATAATAATAATAATAATAATAATAATGATAATAATAATAATAATAATAATTAATAAAAATGTATAAAAATTTAAAACAAATACATAATAATATTAACAATGAATAAATACAAAAACGGAAAATAAATCAAGAGTGAGAAACGATATACAGTATTATGTTGTATTGTCCAAGTAAGAGAAACAATTGAGACCCTGCAATTGTGTGTAAATGAGGCAGAAAGTCAGATTAGCAACCTGCGACTTGGTCAATTTTTTTTATGCCATATGGCATCAGGGTCTACCTTTAGACAATACATTATGCTTCCAATATCTTCCCAGACGATAATACCTCCCTGTTTGGTAAACCCCGTGTTTCCTTCGATTTTGTAATTAAGTTTTTCGTTAAACAACCCACTCCCCAAAGTCATCTATATTTATTTTGTATTTTCAGCATTTGGCTGCTATGTTATCTCAAGAAATAGTTAATTATTCTCCTACTTATCACTATTAGAAGTATTCTTAGTACTAATAAGCAGTAGTAATACACACTCACAAATGAACCACCTTTACACTAGTATATCCGTACCCGGACAGATACAGTACAGTTTATTTATATATAATGTCTCCTCGCACATAATTTATTGATTGTAATAAACTTAGTTAAAAAAACGAAACTTTGTTCGAAGTAAGCTACTTATGTTCTCGTTATTTTGTATTTATATTCAGCACATGATATACTATTTTATGATTACTTTAGCCTGAATGCTAAATCATCTTTTCTCTTACGAATTTTGATAAAAAAATAATTAATCAATCCAAATCATGATGCTCTTCTTGGAATCCTAACCTTCTGAATCTTGCAAGGTCTCTTAAACACCTTCAGACAATTAAAGAGTATTTTTATAATTATCTCGCGTCTTTACTCCTATTTACCATGTCTGTGTATAATAATTATGTTTATCTTCTCGACCGTCATAAAACTGAAGACTTGTTACCACTGTGATGCCGTAACTTCTGTGATTGGTGTTTTTTAAGTCCTGAGCCGTGTTTAGTGGACCCAGTGCTGACGCATCCTCAGCTGACTGATGGATCAGTAAATATTTGTTTCATTTTACATACAAAAAAGGACAGGCAAAATATACAGTTGCCATTAATATGATTTAGTCCCAAGGATTAATGAAGAACAGTGTGTCACTTTATATCATCTACCCAAATCATCAGGTGAAGTAACAGAAAGATATGTATATGAGAATCTTTGTGAACCGTAAGTATGGTACTCCTCAGTCGTGGTGTCTTGAGTTGTATGGTACAAGGAATAAACATGGTAAATCTTTTATGCATTTTATATATTGTCTATTATATATAAGTTACATGTATAGAAATAACATTAAAGTGGCATAGTACAACTTCAATTACTTCAGATTAAAAGCGCATCCTTGGTCACGTGAACAACCAGAGAGAGATTGGCAGAGCTCAGTGGTAGCGGCCACCTCGGCGGGATCGCTCACAGATGATAGGCTTCTCATGGTGGCAGGCGACATCGTGCCATTTGATGCCGTCTTGGTAGAAGTTGTTGAGCACAGCCAGACAGAACTCCTTCCCGTCCTCACGGTTGTCGGGCTGAGGATAACCGTTTCTAAAGGGGGAGAGAGAAAAAACCCCAGTCAGTATGGACAAAAAATACACAGATGTAAACCACACTGTAAACCTCGGTAAACCTGCGTATCGATGACAACAATATTGATTTGATTGGCTTTCATATTTTCCATCCATACAGATCTGAGTCATTCCATCATTTTAAGTTTTCTTGCTCTCAAAGATTTTATTCAATCGTAACAGCACGTGAATATGAATGTGATATCGACACTATGACTAAGACGAGAAGAGACACGCAGCCAACCAGCGATAATACTCACTCACTCGTACCTCATCACAACCCACAGCGTCACCCCCATAAAGCCGGCTTCACAAACCGTTTGAGAGAGGACCGCTATAACTCTCCATTTCTTTGTACAGATGAAGGAGAAAGAAGGAAAGGGAGGAGGAAGATAAAAGGAGACCAGATGAGAGAATGAGGCAACACGAAGAGACTAGAAGGCTGTAGAACTCACCCGCCAGTTTGGGACCAGTTGAGGCCGCTGAAAGGATTTCTTGATGGCCAGTTGAAGTGGTAACCGTTGCGGAAACCTCCCGTCCAGATGTACTCTAGATAGTCTGTGGGAGAGATGCAGTAGTGTAATAAATGTGACAAAGAGAACAATCGGCCCACTCAATGGGATTTTTTATTCTAATGATTTACAGTTCATTTACATAATCTCTAATCTGACCCAAGTGTGGAGGATTGAGGTAGATGACGTCGTGATGTTCCCATAGTAAATGAATCTGAGAAAGTAGATTAGTAATGTAAGGGGAATCGCCAAGGGGTGATCTACCACGACTTCATCTTGTCTGTGGGGGAAAACTCCAGTTAATTTTGTTACTTAACTTTGTGCAGATACCACAACCAACGACATAATAATTCAGCATAAACTCAGTTATACAAAAAATATACCGCCGTCATTGATCTGTGAATTACTTGGCACAGCTGGTGAGAGTACTGTAGTATCATTAAGACAGATCCTTGATGCTTATTCATTGATAGAGAAAAGTACCTACTGTATGACTTCCCTTTTGTGCGTCGTAGTTGAAGTAAATAAGATTAATACTCAGAATAACAGGTATTTGACAAACCGTAAATTTCCAAGATTTAAGTCTGTTATTGAATAAACTCTTCTCACTGAAGTAAACAGTGTTAGGCAACAGGTGTAAGATCAACACACAACAGACATGACTGGCTATTGACTCACGTTGGGAGATGATCTGGGAGATGTAGTAGTTCTCGTCATGAGTCTCGATGCTGACACCTTGCCAGCCGGGGCCCAGGCTAGAGCAGTACTGGTTAGCGGAATACCAGTCATACTTCTTGCCTCCGTCGTGACACCACGAGTAGTGGTAGTCGCTGTTGCCCCATGTGGAATCCACCTGGATTGGGCACCACATGCTGTGTTAGTGTTATATTGTGGTATACTAAGATCAAGTAGACTGTATGTTGTGAGATGAGGCTTCATCAGGTTTGCGTTATGTTTAAGCAACTGAAAAAAAATTCCCAAGTCTTGTTTGTATTGTTAAAAGTTGATTTTTGTTTTGTTTTGTGGCATCTAAAGTCCAATTGTACGTTATGCTTATATTATGACATTGATAACTAGATATGTCAAGATTAACTAAAGACAATGAGGCAACAAGAAGCCCTAGGCTGGTGTCAGGTGTTCTTAAAGCCAGGTAGAAGCTCTGCTTATGTACAGTAAATGAAAAGGTCACCAAACACTTAACTATTCGAGGTGTATCAACCCAGCTAACACTGTTGAACTGGTTCCTGATGGGTAAATCGTGATTGTATTTCTGCTGCAAGACTCAATAAATATTTGTATTCTCAATATTGAAAACTATTCATATATTAGTGTATGGGAAGTTGTCACCCACAAGAGTCCCGTCGCCTCTACTCCTGGATCATGAACCCCGAGATTCAGACTGGTGAATCCTAAGCATTTATGGACAGAATTATGCATCAGCGTCAGCTGCTTCTGGTTCACGAGTCCGAATCTCGGGTTTCGTGGAACAGCAGGAGAGACGACAGGACTTTTGTGGATGACTGTACGTATCACTGCAGCTGTCCGGTCATGTCGCCAGCATCAAGGAATTTGTTCCAACGAAAATCTTTTAACACATTAGATGCAGTGGTAGAGTCTTGGTGAGCTGACTTTTATCTCAAGACACCTATACAACTATACCAGTATTTGAACCTACCTACACATTAACTTGTATCTGTACCTGTTCTTCTATCTGTACCTATACTTGAAACTGCACCTGTACTTGTAATTTTACATGTAGTCACATCAGTATCTGTACTTGTATCTGTATCTGTCTTCTTGTGTATTAAGATAAATTCTGTTATTGCCACATAGTTTAATACTTACTACCAGCATACTGTCAAAGTCTCTTGATTATCAAAATGTTTTAAGTTATTTCTGTCCCTCATTGGAGATAACTAGGCAAACTAAGTGACTTAAACAGTTACGACCATGACAGGTTCATATAGCACCGACACTCTCTTCATTTACCCTAAGCTTTAGATGAAAAATTTTACTGAGACAATAAAGCAACTTTACCAAGCCACCGTAGCCGCCACCGCAGTGGCCACCACCGACGCCGCCACCACCGCCGCCGCCACCACCGCCGCCGCCACCACCGCCGCCGCCTCCTCCTTGAACGACCACTGCGCCGCCTCCGCCGCCGCCGCCGCCACCATGAACGATTACACTACCGTGGCCGTGGCCGCCACCGCCACCACCACCACCACCACCACCACCAAAGCCATATCCATGACCACCATATCTCCTGCCATAGCCTCCATACGATCTACTAGCCACGGCGGCAGATATCACTGCCAAAAGGAAAACCGCCTTCATCTGAAACAACACACATAATAAAACGAATTATTAATTATACAGTATTTATTTCAACACGTTATTAAACACACTTATGTACTAATTTTTGTCTCATTTATACACAAAAGCAAAACACAGAATTTTTAACATTTATGTACTAACTCCAAAAAGTACTCTATCACAACCCTACCGAGACAACAGGAGTCGCAGTGTTCATTTTGAAATTCATCAGATCCCCTCCATACAGATACCTTTTGGAGCAAGTACACAATACCGAGACAAAACCAAAATACATTTTTCGTCACAGACGTAACAAGACGAAACACATCATTTATTTGGACTAAACCGAGAGAGCCTTTTAAATATATAAACAATTTCCTCTTTCTAAAACGATAGCAATATATAAGCAGTGGGAGGGCGTTACTCGGAGCTGACAGCAACATGAAAATCACTGTTTAATTACTGTAAGTGTGTCAGGAAGGAGTAAGCATTAGAAGTAATGTTTGTTATCTACCTGTGTGGCAGGTCATATGTCTTTTACTTTGGTTTATCTATCTCTTTTTGTCTCTCTATCCTTCCTTGCATTTTTCTTACACTCTTTCTCTATTTTCTAAGTGTTTCTCTCTCATTCTCTTTTTTCTGTTTTATTCTTCCTCGCTTCTCTCACCTTTCTCTCTTTTTCTTTCTATTCATTTCCTTGTCTGTCTCTCTCTCTTTTATTCTCTCTCTCTCACTGTTTTAATTTTTCTGCTAGGTCTCTCTCTCTCTCTCTCTCTCTCTCTCTCTCTCTCTCTCTCTCTCTCGACCGTGGTCAGTTGCACATCTAAACCAAAACATCCAACTAGTCTTAACCTGCAGGTCACCATTGATATTATTTGTTCTCTTATACGAACCGATAATCCAGTGTCATTCTCTCACACAAGTCTCGGTGCTGTGGTTATTATGAGTGGCGTTGTCTGGTGTCGTCACTCGTCGATTTGAAAGTAGAAAATGTAAATAGGGAGATTCAATGTTTATGGTATGACCCCACACTCCTGACGGGGCATTTGTAACAATCACTATAACTTAGGTTGCAAGAAATTTGTTTTAACGAGCATGTATTGGTCTTGGAATATTCAGAAGCGTGTCTGTATTTTAATTTTTCTGTCTGTCTATCTATCTGTTTGTTAGCCCCTCATTTCCAATCTCTCTCTCTCTCTCTCTCTCTCTCTCTCTCTCTCTCTCTCTCTCTCTCTCTCTCTCTCTCTCTCTCTCTCTTTCTCTCTTTCTCTCTCTCTCTCTCTCTCTCTCTCTCTCTCGATTGTAGGAAGGTGTCACTGGGAAGTCATTTATATGAAAAAAAAAAAATGACAACATCGACACAACTATTATGTGGAGGAAGCTTTCTTTGTGTTTGCCAAAGTCCATTGATCCCTGGAGTTGAGAAATCGTTTTTTCTTATCTGACAATTGTATCTGTAACTCGTAGATTTTACACACAAGAAACGGGTTCCTGGCTGCCTGACTTGCTTTTCCTTTCCCATTATGCCAGGTCGCCGTATTTATTAGAACTTCAACATTAAAATCAAACGAGTTCTTACACAACTATACTAGATATACGAACAGCCAATATTCTACGTCTAATTCCAAACTTTACTGTGATTCTCATTTAATAAAAGAACTTTACTTTCGTTTGTTGATAAGTCGCAATCTACTCTTCAGTTTCTGTTACAAGATGTACAATACTATTCATTTACTTACGCTATACTGTACTTTTCAATATAACTACAAACCGCACTGTAATCTTCATCTAAACTAGTTACACTGATTTTTTTGACCGACCAGTTTTTCTGTATTCAGCCCTGAGTCACAAGCTGTACCTTACTATTCACTTAGTGGTTTAAACAACTTTTCTTTTTTCCACTGTATAAATACTTGTTCAACTTCCATGATACAGCGATGACCTGTTGCATCTGGCACTACCACTCTGGTTACTCATCCCTCTACCCCCAGCCACTCACTTTCACTCACACCGTCACTTTCACTACTCACCATCAGTTCTGTCACTCATTGGCTCTTCCTCCACCGCTTCCGTAACTCACTGCCATTTTACCACTAACCCACATTTACACCCACCTTTGTAACTCATCACCCTGCTTGTCACTCAACAACATCTTGACCTCTCCTGTCACTCATCACCACATCCGGCATCCACTATATGCTACTGTGCACTCCTCACCCCCAACACACACACTCACCCACACTCACCCCACACACCCACACTCACCCCACCCCCACACTCCCCACACTCACCCCCACCCCCCACCCCTCACCCCACATACCCACACTCACCCCACCCCCCACACACCCCTCACCCCACCCCCCACACACCTCACCCACCCCCACCCCTCACCCACCTCCCACCCCACACACCCACCTCACCCCACCCCCCCACACTCCCACCCCCACCCCACCTCCCTCACCCCCACCCCCCACACACCCCTCACCCCACCCCCACACCCCACACACACCCCTCACCCCACCCCCACACACACCCCACTCACCCCCCCCCACACCCCTCCCACCCCACCACCTCACACCCGCCACTCAAAAATATAACACTCACTCTCACCAATTGCCATAAACAGTCAGTCTCATTACTTCATCATTACTCAACTATTCCAACCATATTAATCTATTTTGACTTCACCCATCTTGCCTACAGTGATCACCCGTATTCATAATAATCTGGGACACACACACACACACACACACACACACTGCACTAATAAAGAAACACACACAAGCCACCAACACCACGACCACCACCAACCCAGGCACTAGGAACAAGACGTTAACACCCACCGTCGCGCTGTGTGTCGAGCGAGAGGAAATGTGACGAACTCTCGGCTGTTCTCCTCTTATATACCCCCACCTTACCGGAGTCCCCCAAGGTCATATATCACTCTTGTCTTGTCTTAATTTTCCGCCGTGAACGATAAAAAAAACGAGAGTGAATGTAATGTAGTGTGTGTGCGTGTGTGTCTGTGTGTTAGTGACTGTGTGTGTATATATATTGTATATAATAATAATAATAATAATAATAACAATAATAATAATAATAATAATAATAATAATAATTAACGGTTTATTGAAAGAGCTTGGCAGCCAGAAGGCTGAAAATATACAGTTACATATTTGGGGAATGAGTTACGAATTACAAATAATATACAAGTAACATAAGTGATACAAATAAGATATATAATAACTAGATGGGGAAAAGCTCAAACTACAGTGCATTTCAACATAGTGACAGTGCAAGAAGTAGTATTTACTGGGAGTGAATACACTGGTTTTATTACAAGTTATTGATAATTTTTACAATGGTTGGGACTGGGCTGTTCTTATAGCGATCAGTTCGTGCACGTATGGGCTGGATGCGGTTGTGGTGTCGAACAGCAATTCTCGGACTAGGGATCTCAGGTGGTAGTAGGAGCCGGTGTCGGGATGGTGTAGAAGCTTCTACCAAATTTGCAGATGAGGTCGTGGTGATGGTCAGTGAGAGTCGAAAGGGTCAGTGTGTTGAGCGTTTCTTGATATGTGGAGTAGGAAGGGGAGAGAATAATCTTGCATGCCCTCTTTTGCACTTTTTCTAGGTGTTTACGTTGTGTGGCATTTAGGGAGGAAGACCAGGTAGGGGAGGCATAGGTGAGCTTGGGAAGTATGAATGTTGTGTAAACACTGAGGAGCTCGGGTGCAGGAACTCCGAGGGACTTGAGTCGGCGGAGGAGGTGGAGACAGAAAATGGAGGATTTGACAACTTCACTGACGTGTGGTTTCCAGTTTAGTTTGTTGTCTATGGTGACGCCGAGGAGCTTCGTGGAATCTACAACCTGGAGTGTGTTCGGACCTAAAGTAATGGAAGGAGGTGGGACAATGTCGGAGGAGAGGTTGATGTGCATAACCATAGTCTTGGTATGGTTGATGGTGACATGGTTGTTGGTGACATGGTTGTTGGTAGCCCAGTTTTGGAGACTGTTCAATAAATCCTGAAGGGCGGTATAGTCGGGAGCAGAATTGTTGACGCTGATCCCAATGGTGGAGTCGTCGACATATTTCCAGCGAGCAGGGGTTTCTCTTAGGGCATCATTGATGAGCATAAGGAAGCAGAGAGTGGTCCCCATCTTCAATTGCCTTGGGGGACGCCACAGGTAGTGACTTCAGAAGTGAAACAGCCCCCTCAGGCGTACAGCTTGGCGTCGGTCACTGAGGAAGTCTGTAGCCATGGTACATAAGACTTCTCTCCGAAGCCGGGTCAACTCAGCACTGTTGATGATTATATTGTGGTCGACTAGGTCGAACGCTTTAGTGAAAATCAATGAAGGCGACAGCTACAGACGTTTTTCGTTCTCAGATGGCGGTATATGTAATCGAAAGCTGACAAGACAGTGAGTGGTGGAGAGATTTCATGTTACTTAAATTGCTGAGGTCTGACTCCTGCAATATCGCGCCGTAGTCGAACACAAAACTTTCACAGATTAGGCTGGGTATTGGGGTGATTGCAATAGGTCGTAGCTGATTTAAGGATTGTGGGCTGGTTGACTTGGGCACTGGTGATACATAAGGGGTCTTCCAGTCAGCTGGGCATCTGGCTTGACTGAGAGAAGCATTGATGATGGAGCATAGGGGTTTAGCAAGCTCCGGGGAGAACCCCTTGAAGAGTTTCATTGGCAAGTCAGTGGAGGTGGTAGAGCATTTTAATTTTAGTTTGTCCAGGCGTT